ACATAATCCCGTCCGGTTCTTTATACCCTACACCACAAGGTGGTCAGGGTATTATGGCTTTGTGCATTTGTTTGTAACAGGCAGAAGGAAACGAGATAGACCCATAGTTCCTTTTGATGATCTGCATAGAATCACATTCTGAGTCGATTTATGCATGTCCGTCCGTCCGTCCGTCTGTCCATGTATTTTTGTAAACAAAGTACAGGTCGCATTTATTGCCCGATCCAGATGAAATTTTGCAAAGATCTTTTGTTTGGCCCAAGGACGAACCCTATTGAAATTGGAGCTAATTGGTCAAAATTTAGATATAGCTCCCATATATATCTTCGTCCGATTTGCTTTTTATTGTGCACCAAACGTGTAATATCAGCCCGAATTGTATGGAATTTTGCATATACACCCAAATTAGGCCAGAAAATATGTATGCCAAATTTGATCGAAATCAATTCAGACATAGTTATAGCTCCCATATATATTGTTCATCCGATTTATTATTTTTGTCCACCGCCGCCGTAATATGCACTCTGTAACAGCAATATTTGGGGAAATATATCAAATACAGCTCAGAAATACATTTGCTAAATTTTATCGAGATCGGTTCAGATTTGGATATGGCTCCCATATATAAATTCGTCCGATTTACCTTTTATTGTGCAGCAAACGTCTAATATTTGTCCAAATGGGATGGAATTTGGAACTTACGATCGAATTGAATCTAGAAGCTAGTATGTCAAATTTGGTGAAGATCGGTTCAGATATAGCTATAGCTTCCATATATATTATTCAACCCAATTGCTATATTTGTTACCCACAACCGTAATATGCACTCCGTAACAACGATATTCAGGGAAATATATCAAATACAGCTCAGAAATATCTTTGCCAAATTTTGAACTTTAAATTATAATTATAATCATAGCGTGTATGATTGAATTCTCCCATAAAAACTTTTAATTGTTATGTGGAGCTCTACTTAATTAGCAAAGTGGTGTAGGGTATCATAAAGTCGGCCCCGCCCGACTTTAAGACTTTCTTTACTGGTTTTCTTTTCAAATTGCATACTTATACATAAATACAATATTTAAATTAAGGCAAGGTCTGGTGTGAAATTGGGATATATCTGTACACTCCTTTTGGCACCTCAAGATCAAAATTTAGAATACCCATGAAGCTTATAAAACGCGAAATTAACAATCCATTCAGAGTTGGTAAATCTCAATATTTTCATTAAGACAAGATCTGTTATAAAGTTGGTGAGGTTGGACCATTTCTTTTGATACCTCCCCCATATAGGGTTCAAGATTTCGCATAAAATTGCAAAGAACTCAGTAAGAAGTGTCCATCCTTGAAAAAATTTATCAATATAGGCCCATGTTTTGGTATAACCCTCCCCTGATTTCAGCTATATCCGTGCCCTGACCACATTTTCTATTAATTTGGTCCTAATTTGGCATCTTGGTTTCGAAGGGGTAGAAAACCTCTTCACATAAAATTTTCAATGTAGATCAATGTTTCGAAATAGCGCCCATATAATGGTATCTCCTGATTTTACCTATTTTGGGGGTCTTCATACCATTTTAAATCGATTTGGCTAAATATTTGTATTGAGTCTATTTTGGGAATAGAGGCAAATTTTAACATAGATAAATACCTCCCAGTACCTCCCAGGTTCACGTTCCATTCACCCGGATCATATACCGAAAATTATCACACAGTATTATAGCTCTGTGTAGGAATACCCTTTCCGAATTTGGTACTTTTCGTTCACTATATTTTCAAAACTGCCCATTGTCTAACCCACAGTGATCCTTGTAGCTAATTTATAAGTTCAGCTCCATCCCTACACTTTTTATCCTATTTATTTACTATTTTATAATTTTCGTGTACTTATAGTACGCATATGAAATCCCAAGCTTAGTACATGATCCTATGATCCTTATAATAATACATCATTGTGAACAATTTAGTACCATTTGGTACGATTGACGCCAATAAGTACGCTTTTCCTAAACCATCCCCATATATCAGGTACACTTTCCAACTTCAATTCCCAGATAAAATTTCATGATTTTAGCCCTGTTCGTAAAAAAAAAAACTAATAGTACTTTTCGTACACTTAATACCAAATTTCAGAATTCTAGCTCTATCGTTCGAAATCCTTAAACTCGTCTCGAAAGAAAATAAAAACTATACATTTTTGACAAGACGCTATGACGTTTTAATTCAACTAATCATTCTTTGAAATTCCAATCCAAAATAAACAAGTAAAAAAGCTGTAAGTTCGGCCGGCCGAACTTTTAATACCCTCCACCATTTGGTAGAAATTTGGCAATTTCCAAAAAATACAATCCGTTAAAAATTCTGTTAAAATCTTAAAAATACCGAATGCTTATACGACGACGTGGGCCTGCATAGGCAACTTTTGTCATAAGTTATGCGAATATGGGGGGTACCGTTATATAGGGGCTACACGAAGACGTGGACCTGCGCAGACAATTTTCTGGCATGGGCTGAAGTATCCATTACGAACTTCACATTCGAAATTTGAAACAATCCCGGTAAATATTGTCGCTAAAATCATCAAAATACCGAATATCGGGGGTACGGTATATGGGGGCTTTATGAAGACGTGGACCTATATGGCCCATTATATGTTTTATGTTTTATGCTCAAATACCAAATTTGGAACGATTCCGGTGAATAATGTCGTTAAAATCATCAAAATACCGAATATTGGGAGGTACCGTTATATGGGGCTATACGAAGACGTGGACCTGTTCAGACAATTTTCTGTCTTAGGCTGTAGTATCCATTTCGAATTTCAAATACCAAATTTGAAACAATTCCGGTGAATAATGTCGTTAAAATCATCAAAATACCGAATATCGGGAGGTACCGTTATATGAGGGCTATATGATAACTTGGACCTACATGGCCCATTTACGAACTTAACCTGCCTACTGGCAGAATATACATGTGTGCAAAATTCTATCTCAATTTGTTCGAAAGATAGCGTGGTTACAACAGACAGACAGACAGACAGACGGACATGGCTAAATCGACTTAGAATTTTACGCTGATCAAGAATATATATATATATATACTTTGTTGGGTCTGACATGAGTATTTCGAGGAGTTACAAACGGAATGACAAAATTAATATACCCCCCACAGTATGGTGGAGGGTATAACAAGTTAAAAGGTATCAGTAGGTTTTACCGACAGGTTTGCTATATTATTCAAATTGTTTAACATCTACGTAATAGGTTGCGAAGGAATAGGCCAATATTGTCCACTTCATATCGGATCTAAATAAATAATGCGACATGCCAGATTTGGACTAAATTGTTTCACTTCCTTCACGTTATATGAGATCATCATCATTTTTAGAAAATTTTAAAATGTGAGTGAGTCGACCAAAGTATTCCATTTTCATACTTCATCTAATACAGATAAAAATATTGATATCGGCAAAATTACAAGAAAATCGAGTATTGATATCCAATTTTATAATATCAGGTTTCTGGTTAAGATTAATATTTAGATAAACCAAGTTTTAGAGAATCGCTGCCTTATTTCGCAAGTTATGTCATATATAAGTATTGAAAATTTTGACCCTTTGTGGAGGAGAAAGTAGATCGATGTATCGCATCTTCAATGCAGATCTTGTGTTAGTAGGGATATGAGAAATATGAAGAGAAGTGGATAATTATTTCGGATTTTATAATCGTTTTAGTTATTCTTAGACCCTTTGTGGGTCAAGTACCAGAAGGAGCGGCCCGATCTCTACCATCTTTATCCAGATGTTGTGTTGATAGAAATATTGAGATGTACCAAGTCTGAATGGAATCGGATGTTAATTTCGCGTTATATGAACTTCATTGTTATTCAAAATTTTGACTCTTTGTGGGGAAGGAACCAGAAGGAGTGGACCGATATATCCCATCTTCAGAGCAGATCTTACGTTTAGTAGAAATACTGGGTTGTGTGAAATATGAAGAGAACCGGATGCTTATTTCGGATTTTATAATCGTTTTGGTTATTCCAAAAATTTTTAATTTTTGTGGGGGAGGTACCAAAAGGAATATTTCGATCTCTACCTTCTTTATAACAGAATAGATTCAAGTCTGAACGAAATCGGACGTTAATTTCGCATTTTACTGCCTTCATGGATATTCAAAATTTTGACCCTTTGTGGGGGAGGTACTTAATGGAATGGACCGATATATTCATCAGACCTTGGGTTAATAAAAATATTGTGATGTATGTAATTTGAAGACAATCGGACTCTTACATCGCATTTTATAAAAGTTGTAATTATTCAAAATGTTGACCCTTTGTGGGGGTGGCACTGGATGGAGTGAACCGATATTGTTGCACCTGATCTAGCACCTAGGGTCAAAAAACGTTATTTCTACTATTGGCCGTATCAAATGGTATTTACCCTCTCTAGCCATATGGCTGAGGGTATAAAAAGGAGAATATGGAAATAGAAATAGATTTTCCTCAATGCTGGATAATGGCGTATGTACCATTAAAGCATGACACCTACATACAAACATACATGCATCAATATTGTGAAAAAATTGACATTGAGTTTCAAATCAGTTGTCTTATGAACCTTAAGCGTTCCTGACAAAACTCTTCCACTTATTCTTAGACCCCCCTTGATTTGCTATAAATATTTTGATTATTATGGGCTCAATTATTATGTCCATCATAGGCAACCATTTTGATTGATTGCTTTATTAAATTTGCCTTAACTTCTTCCATTAGAGAAAATGAACTTCCAGACTTTTCCACTGAACATGTCCTTGGCAGCCATGGAAGCTTTCTTGGCCAGAAACTTATAAATAAATAAATAAATAAATAATTAATAACAATAAATTTTGTATGAAAATATCCCAGATGATGTCTCCATTTTTGAGGGACAGGTTACCATGATGAGAAGAAAAAACTTACTTGGTATTGCGTACCAAGTTCAGAGGGGAGAAAATGTATCACAAAAAAATATAACATTTTATCATTTATTAGATAAAAACTTTGACTGATTTCAAATTCATAACCCATTTAATTAATCTAGTAATATAATAACTAGGTACAAACGAATTACATCTAACTCAACATCTGTGCTCATCAAACAACTACAAACAAGTGTCAAATAAAAATTCACGGTATGAACTGATCCACTAATGACCAATCTGCCCTCTTCCTCTTTTCACACCTCCTCATTCCAGAAAATTGACGAGCATCATTGTCATGGTATAAATGGCCTTGGTCAGCTGCAGACCCGTGTTCATTGTCAGCGGTACAACAGCACTTATGGTCAAACCCGATGTATTCTGGGTCATTGCCAACATGAATTGTAACATTTTCCTATCGCCATTCGAGAGTTTATACCAAATTATTTCCGTGTAACAAGAATCGATGAAGCCATCATTCTTAAAAAATAGGAGGAGGAAATTTTATTTAATTATTTATTTATTTATTATTTATATTTATTATTATTATTTATTTATTTATATTTATTATTATTTATTTATTTATTTATTATTTTTTTAAGTACTACTCACAGTAGCTCTTACTTACCGTCGTATGCACCAATGTGCCTAGACCACAAAAAACATATAACATAATGAAACAATAAAAGAAATAGGTTTGACCACCCGGCCAGGTGCCCAAGATTATACAAGAGAGCGATAAAGCCAAGCAGAGGAAGATTGTTGCCATTTCGACAAGGATTACCCAAAAGTAATTCTCCTTGACGATGGAAATGAATCTGTAATCGGAATATATTAAAAACAAATCAAAAACACAACAATGAATTCTATGGAAAATCGTACCACCAATATTGAGACTTAACTCAGAATTCAATATCACTTTCCGAAAAGTTTTTTCAAATATTTAAAATTGAGCCACTCAAAGAAAAGGGTTGCTTAACCTTTCTTATGGAAAAAGCAACAATGATAATGACGAGACTAAATTATGGAACCCCTAATATGGTCAGCTCGTGAGTTAAGGTAATACAGCCAAAAGAGGTGTTCAGTTACTTTATACGGAAATTTATAATAATTTTGGTACCATTTAGTACTTGTTGTACATTTCCAAAAACACCGTATTGTCTAAATCCTACACTCAGCTCTATCCCTATACAATTTATCAAATTTAGTAATTTTCGTACACATTTCCAAAAATACCTCCTTTTTGAAAATTAACACACTTATGATGATCCTAATACTAAAATTCACAATTCCAGATCTTTTCCAACACTATATGCCAATTTTAGTACCATTTAGTACTTTTCCTACATGATGTCGTACACATTTTCCGAGCGAGCTCGTTATATCAACCATACCTCTATTTTCCACATTCCACCTTCATACATTCATTTAAATGCATGTAGTCCAAATTTAGTATCATTTGGTACGATTGGTACACTTTAGTACGCATTTTCAAAACCACTTCCTTTTATCATTTAAGCTTCCCATCTTTGATTCCTATATTGAATTTAAAGATTTTAGGTTTGTGCGTTACAAGAAGTATCATGGTACCAAATCTAGAACCATTTAATAGTGTTCGTACACTATATGGTACACATTTCCAAAAACACCACCTTATGTGAAATCAACGCACTTACGGTGATCCTAATATCCAATATCCAAAATTCATAATTCCACTTCAATTCATGCAGTATGTACCAAATTTAGTACCATTTCCCGAGAGACCTCTTTATCTCAACCGTACCCCTAGGCTAATTCAAACATTCCACCTTTATCCCTTCACACAAATGCATAAGTACCAAATTAATACCATTTGGTAAGATTGGTACTCTTAAGTATACATCCATCCCTCATAACAGGCATACTTCCCACCTTTGTTTACCTAATAGCATTTCAAGATTCTAGCTCTATCTGTTGAATAACCTCATGGTACCAAATTAGTACCAATTAGTACTTTTCGTACACTTACATTTCATAATTCCTAAAAAATTCCTTCGTGCATATGTACTACACTAGTGACTCTGATTCCAAAATTTATCAATTAACCCAAATGCAGATTGTACCAAGTTTAGTACCATTTCGGTACGATTGACACACTTCAGTACGCATCCCCAAAAACACCTCAAACATACTCTCTAACCTCGATCCCATATACAATTTTAAGATTTAAGCTCCATCCGTCAAACAAAATATAATGGTACCGATACCTGTTAGTACATTTCGTACACATTTAGTTCGAATTTCCTAAAATTCTTTGGTACATCTATGCTGCACCTGTGACCCTTGATAAAAATATCAAAATGCTAGCTCTATCATTTCGTTCACTAGAAATGGTACCATATTTAGTACCTTTTAGTACTTTTTGTACACATAAAATTTCATAATTCCCAAAAACTCATACTACACTGGTGACCCTGATTCCAAAATTTATCAATTAACCCAAATGCAGATTGTACAAAGTTCAATACATTTCGGTACAATTGGTACTCTTAAGTATGCATTCCCAAAAACCACATCAAACTTAGTTTCTAACCTTGATTCTCATATCAAATGTCAAGATTTTAGCCCTATTTTTCAAACATAACGTAATGGTACAAAATGTGTAACTTTTAGTACATTTCGAACACTTTAAGTTCGAATATTGTTAAAAATTCTTTGGTACATATAACCTGCATTGACTCTTGATTCAAATACCTTATATACTACCTTTTACTACTTTTCGTGTCCTTCTGGTACGAATTTCCAAAACAACCTCCCTTTATTGGGCCTACTTTCCAGTTTAAGTGCCATATACAATTTTACGATTTTAGTTCTATCCAATAAAACATCATAGTCCCATATTAGTACCTTTTAGTACTTTTCGTACACTTTGGAGTTCGAATTTCCTAACAACATTTTGGTAAAAATATATTAGATCAGTGATCTTCATTCAATCCGTTCGTCCAATACAAATTGCATCAAATTTGGCACCTTTTAATACTTTTCGTACCTTTCTAGTACTAATTTTCAAAAACCCAGGAGAGGTGGACCCCTCAAGGTTGACTCCTAGGGGGACCCGCATGGAAAATGTCAAGATTTCCATTTTACCCGTTTGGTGTAGTAGTATATGGCAGACTGATTCATCAACCCCTAGACGAAACGATTGAAGCTGGAATCTTCAAATTTTGTGTGAGGGTCAACCTTGGGGCGTAGGTGCTGGAAAAGGTAATTTCTGTGTACATTCAGTTACCATCCGCCCATCCACCCATTTATCCGTCCATCTATCTACATATCTATTTATACATAGATACATAAATCCAACTTCGATTTGAATTTTATGCTGTTTTCAAATGTCATCTACAAGGGAAGGACTTAGTTATGCCATCAAAGCTACAGATCCCCTCTAGAATTCCGAGTCTATATGGTTTTGAATGGGTCATAAGAGTTTAGATCACAGGCCGAGGCAGTTGGAGCAATAGAACTTAAAGTGGTCCAGAGCAATACTTCCTGTTTCTTTAGTGTTCCATTGGACAAAAAGTCTACGACCTTAAGAAAAAAATCATGGGTCAGAAACCGAGGACACTGACGAAGTTTTACCCTTCTCGTACTCCTTGTCAAAATAATCTATTTTCGAATCTTTCCGAGGCATAATAAATCGAAAACTGAAAGCTCCTTTCAAAAGGATCCCAAGTCCATTAGAATTGTCTCACGTCATAAAGACACATGGATAGACCTTAACCTTAAAAATCGGAATCTGCCACATATCTGCAAAAGGTCTAAAAGGTGAAAATCCTTGCCACAAAGATGGTTAAAATCCTTTGCAAGATACACATCAAGATAGTCAATGAATACCTGTTTCCGAATAATTCAGAGGCAGTAAAAAATCGATGTTAAAAAGCTTCTTTCAAAGGACCCCAAATCCATGAAAATTATCTCACGTGAGATAACACATGGACAGTCCCTGGCCTTAAAAATCGGAATCTGGCATATATCTGCAATTTTCTACTTTGTAGTTGATTCTGTATTATCGCTTATATCAGTCTTCCATTATAGGCCCTTAATATCCCCTATTGGCGTTACCAAAAAAGAATCCAAATGAAATTCCAAAACCCACTTACTTCATATAGCGCTGATGCCACTCGAATATGTCCCGCAACAGTTCACCACTCCTCTCCATTTCATCCAGCTCCAGAGCCTCATTGATTTCCTGAAATTTACACGACAATATATCCTTGTACAGCGGCACATGAAAGACCAGCAAAAAGAAACACAAATCGGCGGCGAAGCTACCAAATCCACCGAACAGGATACTGAAAAAATGTACGACATTCATTATTATGAAATCCCTTTCCACCTTCGGATCCAGCCCAGGCAATAAAAACTGCATTATAAATACGCGTTGATTGAAGAAGAAACGATAGAACGGCACCACTGTGATCAGGCTACAAACGACAATGGCATAAACGATGCCCATCGATTTGAGGCCAACAACGGTTCGATTCATGGTCTTGTGTAAATAGGCACGATAATCGGAATGTTTCTTTTCGTTGTATTCCTTGTAGATCGTGTGCAGTTCGTCGACCAAAAAACGAAAATAGGCCTTATTCCTAATGGCATTCAAGAGTTTGGCATAGCCCTACAGGCAGAGAGGGATTTAGGAGAGAAAAGGGAAACAATAAAAATTAGAAAATTGGAAAACTAATCGCCACGAAGCCCAATGACTTACATGCACCCCACTGCCCACCATGGCCAAGGCCTGCAGACTGTGCGACCATTCCCCCTCCAAATAGATGCTCACATACACTGTATAACACGTCAATATGGAAAACATATTGATGAACGTTATCACCGTCCAGGTGAGTAAATTCATTTTCCACTCCGGATTCAGGACATCACAACCACAGTATTTCGAGGAGAGACGTATGATGCGAACAATAAATTCGTTGCGCTGCACCACAGATATGACCATGACGATGTCAGATGTCTTCTATTAATTTTTCAAAACAAATATTCAAACGGAAAATTCAAGGATTGCAACCAACTCATGAATGGCCAACAAGGATAGTGTGTGTGTGAAAATTCAGGTCTGTGGAGGAATTTTCCCCAAACATCTGGCATTGAGTGATAATTTCCAACCTTTGACATGAAAATTGTGCAATTTGTTTAATTGGACTTTAAAAACTGACAATAGGCCGGTTCTCAACCAAGTAATGGATTTAAGGCAGCTAATGAGTACCTCTAACAAAGAGAGTCGAAATGAAGCCTCAATGAATTTGAAAGGAACATTTTTGATGATTTTTAGGAATTATTAACCATTAACCAAAATGTAGATTGTACCAAAATTAGTACCATTTGGTACGCTTGGTAGTTTTAAGTACACATTTTTACAACCATCTCCTTATAACAGGCATACTTTCCCAAGCACTTCAAGATTCTAGCTGTATTCGTTGAAAAATATAATAGTACCCAATTAGTACCTTTTAGTACTTTTCATACACTTAAATAGTCCCAAAAACTTCTTGGTACATATATACTACACCAGGGACCCTCATTTCAAATTTTATACATTTACCCAAAAGCATGTTGTACCAAATTCAGTACCATTTGGTACGGTTGGTAAACTTAAGTACGCATTTCCAAAATCACCTCAGATATACTTTCCAACCTAGATTCCCATGTGGAATTTCAAATTTCCCGCCCTATCCGACAAACAACACATCATGGGACAAAATTAGTAACTTTTAGTACATTTCGAATATTTTAAAAACTATTTGGTACATATATCCTACATCATTGACCCTTAATCCAAATAACAAAATTCCAGCTCTATCTTTTCGCCCAATACAAGTGGTACCTAATTCCGTACCATTTAGTACTTTTGTATTACTTAAATTTCGTAATTCATGAAAACTCTTATTCCCTGATTCAAAAAGATGGTACCAAAGCTAGTAACATTGGGTACGATTGGTACACTTGAGTACGCATTTCCAAAACCACCTCAGACATACTTTCCAACCTTGATTCCCATATCAAATTTCAAGATTTCTGCCCCATTCCGTGAAAAAAAACATCATGGTACAAAATGAGTAACTTTTAGTACATTTAGTACATTTTAAGTTTGTATGTTCCAAAAAAAAAAAAACTCTTTGGTACATATATCCTGCACCATTGACCCTTGATGCAAAAATCAAAATTCCAGGTTTATCCTTTCCCCCAATACAAATGGTATCATATTCAGTACCTTTTAGTACTTTTCATATATTCAACTTTCGTAATTCCCAAAAACTCCATGGTACATATATACACTACACCAGTGACCCTCATTTCAAATTTTATCCATTAGCTAAAAGCATATTGTGCCAAGTTTAGTACCATTTGGTACGATTGGTACATTTAAGTACACATTTCCAAAACCTCCTCGGACAAAATTTCCAAACTTGATTTCCAAAAAAAATCAAGATTTCCGCCCTATCCGTCAAACGAAACATCATGGTACTTAATGAGTAACTTTTAGTACATTTCGTACACTTTAAGTTTGAATATTCTCGAATCTCGTTGGTACTTGTATGCTGCACCATTGATCCTTGATCCAAATATCAAAATACTAGCTTTATATTTTCGCCCAATAAAAATGGTGCCATATTCAGTAACTTTTAGTACTTTTCGTACACTTCTGGCACGAATTTCCAAAACTACATCCATTTATTAGGCATACATCCCAACCTTTAATAAACGTAGATTCTTAAAAGAACAAAACCCCAGGAGCCTTAAACTTGTTTTTTTTTTAAGAACACATTAAAGGGCCTCTGGAACTTTAAACTTGAATTCCTTAACATGGGTATATTAGGGAACTTATATAAAAACCACAGGAGGCGTAAAAGTGCATTTTTTAAAGAAATTTTTCAAAGGATCCCAGGCGCCTAAATATTGCTTTTTTTAAAGAATAATTTTTAAGACATCTGAAGCCTTAAACGTGGATTTTTAAAATAAAAAGTTTTAAAGGCCTACAGAGCCCTAAACCTGGATTTTTTTTAAAGAACAAAGGATTTCTGGCGCCTAAATATTTCTTTTTTAAAGAATAATTTTTAAGACCTCTGAAGCCTTAGACGTGGATTTTTAAAATACAAAGTTTTAAAGGGCCTACAGAGCCTTAAACCTGGATTTTTGTAAAGAACATATATAGGACCCATATAGCCATAAACATGGGTTTTAAAGACAATTTATAAAGGACTATAGGAGACTTAAACGTGAATATTTAAAGAACATTTATAAAGGACACCAGAAGCCTTTAAAGTGAATTTTTGAAATACAATTTTTAAAGGCATTAAATGTGGATTTTGAAGGACAAGCGAGTCCCAAACGTGGGTGTTCTAAAGAAAAATTTTAAAGGACAAAGGGAGTCTCAAACGTGTTAAAGGACATACGGAGGTTTTAAAGAATTTAAAAAAAAATAATTATTTACAGTTCCAAGGAAGCCTCAAACGTCGATTTTATTACAAAAAATGTTCAAAGGACCAAGGAAGCCTTAAAAGTAGATTTTTTAAATTTTGTTGTTTTTTTAAAAGAATAATTGTTAAGACCTCAGGGGCCGTGAACGTGGATTTTAAAAATACAAAGTTGTAAATGTTTAAAGGACTAATGAAGCCTCAAACGAGGAATGCCTTAAATTTTGTTGTTTTTTTAAAAGAATAATTGTTAAGACCTCAGGGGCCTTGAACGTGGATTTTAAAAATACAAAGAGTCTTAAACCTGGAATTTTTTAAAGAACATATATAGAGGACCTATGTAGACATTTTATTATATTTAAAGAACATTTATAAAGGACACCAGAAGGCTTTAACGTGAAGTTTTAAAATAAAAATTTTTAAAGGACCTATGTAGCATTAGACGTGGATTTTCTATAAATAACATTTTTAAACGACCTATGTAGCCTTAAACTTGGATTTTTAAGGACCAAGGAGACCTCAAATGTGGATATTCTAAAGAAAAATTGTAAAGGACATACGGAACAATAATCGTGGTTTTAAATTACCAAGGGAGCCTCGAACGTGGATTTTTATACCCTCCACTATAGTATGGAGGTTATACTAAGTTTGTCATTCCGTTTGTAACACCTCGAAATATACATTTTAGACTCCACAAAGTATTTATATTCTTGATCAACATAAAATTCTATGTCGATTTGGCGATGTTCGTCCGTCCGTCTGTTGTAATCACGCTAGAGTCAAATCGAATAAAGATGGGAAGCTAAAATTTTGCACAGATCAGTCTTTTGTCTGCAGGCAGGTCTAGTCGATATCTCGATATCGTGTAGCTCCCATATAACGGTAGCCCCCATTTGATGATTGTCGGTACAATATTCACCGATAATATTTTGAAAATTCGCATTTGAAGTTCCTAATAGGTGCTTCAGCCTGTGACAGCTCCAGGTTTTCATATAGCCCCTATATAACGGTACCTTCCTATATTCGGTATTTTGATGATTTTAGCTACATTTTCAGTGGAATTGTCTAAAAATCCATACTAGAAGTTCTTTCTAAGCACTTTACCCCCTGGAAGAGAAATGTGTATATAGATGCACGATATCGTATGGCCCACATACAACGGTAACCTCCGATATTCGATATTTTGACGATTTTAGCGTCATTATTTACCGGAGTTGTTTCAAATTTCGTATTTGAAGTTCCTAATAGGTAATACAGCCTGTGACAGAAAATTGCCTATGCAGATCCAGGTCTTCGTAAAGACCCCATATATCAGTACCTCCCTATATTCGGTATTTTGATGATTTTAGCTACATAATTCACCGGATTTTTTTCCAAGTTTTTTGTAATGGGTTATGACAAAAGTTGCCACGTCTTCGTATAGACCCCAATATAACGGCATATTCGGAATATTTGAGATTTTAACAGAATTTTTAAGGGATTTAATTTTTTGAAAATTTCCAAATTCGTTCCAAATGGTGGAGGGTATTAAAACTTCGGTCGGGCCTGTGTTTTTACTTGTTCATATTTAACCGAATTTTTCCATTTAGTAAAACTCGGTCCGGGTTATCTATTGCTTTAATAAATACTTTTTAATATAATTATTATCGAGGTCACATCATGCACTATACAGCAATAATATTTGGTACTAGTGGTAAAAAAGCCTCGGTCAGATTTTTTAAAAATCAATTCAAAGTTGGATATATTTCCAAAATTGTGACTACTCTGAAGCCATGATACGCATCCAAATAAGGTTCATAGTGTGTATGATCTGCTACACATTAATTCCCAATAAAAACTTTTTTTTGTTATGGAAGCTCTACTAAATTCGCATAGTGGTGTAGGTTATCATACGTATGCAGCCTTAAACATGGATGTTTTAAAGAAAAATTTTAAAGGACGTACGGAGCAATAAACGCGGTTTTAAAAACCAAGGGATCCTAAAATGTGGATTGTTCTAAATAAAAAGTTTATAGGACCTATGGAGCCTTAAAAGTGTATTCTTCCTGAAATATTTTTAAGGATCTATGGAGCTTTAATCCTGGTCAGAAAATAAATAATTAATTGGTGTGGCTCACCTTTTACTATCTGCTTGGAAACTATCTATTAATGTAATATCAAGATGGCGCTAATGATAACATGAAGTTCAATAGCAAAACTACTTCAAGATCAGGCAGACACAATTACAAATGTAACTCGATTGGAAATTAATATCCTCCTGGGGTATTGATATAATGTTGCAAACTTTTTACCTCCTCTAAGAATATATTCTGATATATGAGTTTTCATTAAAATCTTCCTGGTCATTTCATGTCCAGATGGCGTTCGTAATGGCTCATGGTCCATATTTTGAAGATATTGTCTGTCAATAAATCGATACGAGCCAGTGAAAATAATGAAACGATTTAAAACACCCTAAAAATTCGAAAAACCCAATAATAAAGGAGTTATGGCCAAAGTAAGAAAATAAACTATTCAACATTTAAAAACGACGTGTGAATCGTAACCCGAGTTGCAACGAGCATCTTTGCTTGGGTATTGAATTTATGTTGCAGATATTTGTTCCTCGCCTAGAAGTATGCTCTCAAATTCATTTTTATTACAGCTACCTGACCTTTTTTCATATTAAGATGGCGCTCGTAATTAAATAGTTTTTAGTTTTTGATCTCTTCTGGTTGATTTAAAATCAAGATGGCACTGGATTTATTTTAGAACTTCTGCTCATTTCCATTTCCAAAAAAATGGTGCCAATTATAAATTTATAGATTTGCGCATAACCTGGTCAATAAATCGATATTAGGCAGTTAAATTTATGGGTTCGTAACCCGTAAATTCATCTTTTTTAAACTACCTGTTAATCTTCATGTCAAGATGGCGCTAGAATAGCAAGTTTTCTGATTTTGGTCTTTGCTTTTAAATATTATAGGGACTTTTGAAGGTTTAAGTCGAATTTCCAAACCGAATCTGTAGGAAATTTCGACCCATTAAAATTTTGAAAAAAATTCTTCATTCATAACCTTTAGAATTGCTAATTTTTGTAGTCCTTTTCAGGAACAAATGTATATGACGACAGATTAATTGAAACCTTTAAAATATATGTAGGTATAAATAATGTATGAGAAGCATTCAGGTGTTATATAGCCACAAAAGGTTATGTACTGCTTAATTAGTTGTTTTTTTTTTTTTTCATTTCACGTGTTGCTAATTGTCATGGGCAGGAAGTTAGTGGAAATTATTTATTGCAGCTTAGTTTGCTGAAATCCCTCACACATATCGATTAGAAGCGTTTGCGGAATATTTCCAGAAAACCACTTTCGGAGATCGAAATTTTGTAAAACAAAATGACCATATCGGTGGTGGATGAATATGAGGGAATTGTGCGCCTCATCAAACTGTGTTCGGGAGTTTGTGGGGCAAATGTTTTCGTTGCCAACTATAAGGTTAATGTCCTGACAAGGATTGTGGTGACATTTATAAATCTGTATTTTATCTTCACGGGCTATACGTTGTATATTAACATATTTATCGAAAAGGATTGGACCCATATGCTGCAGGTCATTTGTTTTTTCGGAAGTGCTCTACAGGTGAGAAGGGGAAGGGGGATTTTTTTTTTGAAAGAACATTTCAATCTTTTCCTTTGCAGGGCTATTGCAAGCTGCTGAATGCCATTTGGAACAAGGACCATTTGCGTTATTTGGTCGATGATTTACGTGAAGTCTATGCCGAATATGCTCCGAAACATGACGAGTATCGTGACTGCTTACAGAAAAGCATAAATACGGCCGTAAAGTGCATCAAACTGATGGCCTTCTTTCATGTGGCCATTACCGTTGGCCTGATTGGGGTGGTGCCATTCTTTCGCTTTGTGTTCAATGAACGCATCTTTGTCATGCAATTCCAGTTGCCCGGCGTTGATGGGGATACCGAATACGGTTACCTCATTATGAATTGTATGCACAGTATTTGCATTATTTTCGGGGCATTTGGAAATTTTGCAGCCGATTTGTGTTTCTTTACCTTCGTCAGTCATTTTCCATTGTTCAAGGGTATATTGTCGTGTAAATTCCATGATTTGAATGATGTCCTTGAGGGCAGTGATGATGCCAAAAAGGCTGAGTGTAAGGAGATGCTTAAGGATATCTTCCGATGGCATCAGAAGTATATGAGGTAAAGAGTGAAAAAACAGTCGATGGAATGAAAATGACTTCTCATTTTTTTTCTTTTTGATTTTATGCAGATATATAACCACCGTAAAGGACAACTATTTCTGGGTTCTTCTCGTGGAAATGGCCACAATTGCTTTGAGCATATCTTCAACTCTGTTCTGTCTACTTTTGGGTACCTGGCCAGGTGGCCAAACCTATCTCTCCTATTGCTTTATAATGTTGTATATTTATTGTGGCCTGGGTACTGTCGTTGAAGTGACCGTAAGTAGAGAGAGCGAGAGAGGGAGAGTGAGTGAGTGAGAGAGGGGAGAGAAATCCCCAAATATTTTGAAATAAGAACTGTTGGGTTCGAGCTCGAAGCATATAAAACAAGTTTGAATTTATCAGTCGATTTTGATGACAGCGGTATCCTAGGCCTAGCCTAACTCCTTTTTTTACCCTCCATCATACGTAGATTGGGGAATATATTTAGTTCGTTATTCCATTCGTAATTCATCGAAATAATAATTTTAGACCTTCCAAAGTATATGTATTCTTGATCCACGTAAAATTCTAGGACGATTTAGCCCTGCACGACCGTCCGTCTGTTGTAATCACGCTATTGTTAAAACGAATTAAGATAGGAAGCTAAAATTTGGACAGATCAGTCATTTATCTGCAGGCAGATCAAGTTCGAAGATTGGCTTTATCGGACCACGATATCGTATAGCCCTCCACAGAACGGTACCCCCCCCCCCCCCCCCCATATTCGGTATTTTGATGATTTTAGCCATATTTTTCAATGGATTGTCTGAAAATCCGCACAAGGTGTTCGCTCTGAGTACCTCATCCCCTGGAAGAGATTTGTCTATATAGGTCCACGATATCGTATAGCCCTTATACAACGGTACCCCCCGATATTCGGTATTTTCATGATTTTTTGCGACATTGTTTACCGGAATTGTTTTATATTTCGTATTTGAAGTTCCTAATAGTCACTTTAGTCTATGACAAACATTTCGTATGCAGTTCCACGCCTTCGTGTAGCCCCCATATTTCCGAAGGAATTTTTTCACATTTGGTATTTAAAACTCGTAATGAGTATTACAATCTATGACGGAACATTGTCCATGTAGGTCCACGACTTCATATAGCCCACATATAATTGAACCTCCCTTTATTCGGTATTTTGATGACATTAGCGATTTTTTATCGGAATTGTTTTAAATCTCGTTTTTAAAGTTCGTAATGGGCACAACATCCTATGACAAAAAATTATTAATGCAGGATCATGTATTCGTAGAGACCCGGTTTTCCTTTGAGCTGTATTTTTTGACAATTTTTTTTGCAAATTTTCAAGTTTTTTTCAAAATGATCAAGGAGATTAAAAGTTCGACCCAGCAGAAGTTAGCTGCTTTTTATACCCTCAGCATATGAACAAAACATGCCTCATCGAAATAACGGGTTTAGACCAGGGCATTTAGAGTCGATCTAGCTATGTCTGTCTCTCTGTCTATCTGGATGGTGCGCAGGATAATCTCGTAGGGAGTATCCGATTTGGTCCAAACTTGGTACATAGTAATATCATTATCAAACTTAGATCGCTCTACTCAATCTGGTACCCCTCCCCCCCAAAAAAAAAATTAGAAAGTTTCAAAAAAATATTTTACTGCACAGAATGAGAAGCTATAGTCCGCTTTTACTCCAACTTTGCAAATCCTAATATTTGCATCAGTTCTAGGTCAGGTACGAAAATGGGCAATATAGGTCCACGCCATCAAGTACCTGTCCCACAAAAGGTCAAAATTTTGAATAATTACATATTTTAAAAAGTGTGATTTTAGAGTCCGATTATCTTAAAATTACACACATCACAATATTTTAATGAACCCAAGATCTGGTGTGAATATGGAATATATCGGTCCACTCCTTCCGGTACCTTCCCCACAATAGGTCAAACGTTTTAATAACCCTGAAGTTCATAAAACGCCAAATTAACTCCCGACCCCATTAAGAATTGGCACATCTCAATATTTCCATCAACACAAGATCTGCTACAAATGTGGTAGAGATTGGGCCATTTCTTCTGGTATCTCCCCCACGTAGGGTTCAAGATTTTGAAAAAACAAAACGCTTAAAAAAAGCCGAATAAGCATCAAACTCGCTTCGAATTCCACACATGCTAACACTTTTGCTTGCACAAGATCTGTTGTGAGAATGATATATATCTGTGAACCCCTTCTGGTACTTAGGAGATCACAAAAATGGCAATTCTTGTAAGAAACCCATAATTTGAAGCTATATAGAAACCCAAAAAGTAGTCAATATTTGGGCCATAATATATTGTCCTATCAACATTTCTCACTTAATTTCCCGCATAGAAACTGGAACGATTATAAGGCAGGGGAACTAGAACGAGGACCTTGGAGGGGCTCAAATGCTAACCTAACCTCTATCAATATATATAATATTTGCAGAGGCATTTTTGTAAATTATTTTTTATTTTATTTCTTTTTTTCGATTTTTCATTTTTGTTTTCACCTTTTAATTTTCAGAATGATAGCTTCACCGATTTGTGTTACACCCAAGTGATTTGGTATAAGCTACCCGCAGCCGAGAGAAAAATGTTGCTCATGATGTTGATGATGGCTCAAAAAACCGGAGGTCTTACAATTGGCGCTGTCATTCCGCTGACCGTGAATACCGGTCTACAATTAACCAAACTTATTTACACCATGACAATGATGTTGATCAATTTTCTTGATTAAATACTACTAAATATTTTCAAGTAATAATATAAATATATTTAATCTCATTTAAAGGAAATTGACTAATTAGTTTAAGGAAATTAAACGTAATAAATTGTAGCAGATTATAAATAAATGCACTTTTATTCACTAACTTCTCCAATCAAAAAATAGAATCTGATTAAAAATGTACAGCGTCATTACTCTAAGAAATTATTAGTTATTTTTATCGGAAACATGTCATTTATTTACTCAAAATAAATCAGTTTCGAATATTAAAAATATTACGAAACAAGTAAAAAAGCTGTAAGTTCGGCCGCGCCAAACTATTAATACCCTCCACCACTTGGTACAAATTTGGCAATTTCCACAAAAAAAAAAATAAATAAATAAATAAATAAAATCCGTTAAAAATTCTGTTAAAATCTTAAAAATACCGAATGCTTATACGACGACGTGGACCTGCATAGGCAACTTTTGTCATAAGTTTTTACAATATTTAATTTTTCTCGGGGTACCGTTATATGGGGACTATATGAAGACGTGGATCTACAAGGCTCATTTTTTGACTTAGGATGTAGTATCTATTACGAACTTCAAATATCAAATTTGAAACGATTCCGGTAAACAATGTCGCTAAAATCATTAAAATCCCGAATATCGGCGGGTACCGTTATATGGAGACTATATGAAGACGTGGACCTACATGGCTCATTTTTTGACTTAGGATGTAGTATCCATTACGAACTTCAAATGCAAAATTTGAAACAATTCCGATGAATAATGTCGCTAAAATCATCAAAATACCGAATATCGGAAGGTACCGTTATATGGGGACTATATGATAACTTGGACCTACATGGCCCATTTTCGAACTTTACCTGCCTAATGGCAAAATATACATGTGTGCAAAATTTTAGCCTTCTATCTCTATTTGTTCGAAAGATAGCGTGATTACAACAGACAGACAGACAGACGGACATGGCTAAATCGTCTTAGAATTTTACGCTGATCAAGTATATATATACCTTGTTGGGTCTGACATGAGTATTTCGAGGAGTTACAAACGGAATGACAAAATTAATATACCCTCCATAGTATGGTGGAGGGTATAAAAATATTAAAAATTGCAGGTAAAACCCAGGAGATTATTATAGTAGAGCTAACAAGTAAAAAATAAGCTAGCTTCGACCGGGTCGAACATTTTTATCACCAATTGTAAGGAACTTGGAAGATTCCAAAAATTTTTGGTAAAAAATGTCCTTGAAATTATTAAAATATCGAATATCCGGTGGTATAGTCAAGTGAGCCTAGCCAATTTTCTGGCAGCGAGGGCGGTGCCAATTGTAAATTCGAAATACCTAATATCGGATATACCCCATATAATGATATGGGGGTTCTACGAAAATGTGGACCTGGATGAGCAAGTTTCTATCACAAGAAGAGAAAGCCTATTACCAACTCCAAATACCGAGTTTGAAAAAAAATCCAATAAAAAGTGTGACACAAATCATTATATGGGGTCTATAACCAACTTGGACCTAAAAAAATATTTATATGGAGGCTATATAAAACTATGGACCTATGTAGTAAATTTCCAATACAAAAAATTCTACGGACCCCCAATTTGAGTAAAAATTTGTGCACCCACATCACTTCGTTCGGACTCTAAGGTGATTGCCACAGACGAATATGGCTAAATCTACTTAGAATCTTATGCTGATCAAAATATATATACTTTGTTTAAAATCGCTTTCAATCAATTTTGTTTATAAAAAATAATTTATTTTCGACAAATTTAGCACTTTTTTCGATTTTATTGCAAATTTTCTTATATTTTCACTTGCTATATCCGGTATGGCTTGTGAAAAACCTCTATAATTCTTAAAAAAGTCTAGTGTTCTTAAGCCAAAATTATCTAAGGCCTTTATATAGCCTTGACCCTATACAAAGGAACCCTAATATTTTGACATATATTTCAAAATATTTAATATGAAGCTTTGTAAATTTGTACAGAGCTTTGGATTACTTCAAAAATCTTTCGTTTAAAAAGGGGGTCTTATCGGTCCACTTTTTGATATCTTCCCCATATAAAACCCACATTTTTAACGAACATTTTTAAGGGCTTTTTACGACATGGATTTTATGAAGAATATTTCTTCACGTGGTCTCTTATCAAAGTGGATTTTTTTAAAGAATATTTTTGAAGCTCCCATCAATGATGGTTTAAACAAAACATTTTTCTAGGCCTCTTTAACATATTGTACAATGGTATCGGTACTTACCTATCAAAAATAACCAAAATTACGAGATTCACTCCAAGATCTATCGATTTTATTTTAACACTTTCTTTATAGCTTGGTAAAGGCATATCGACCATATTTGTTATTTGTTCTCTACATAAACGTCCGAATTATTTGAGATCCTCGAGTGAACCAGAACTAACTTGAATATAGCAAAATTACAGTAGATTACATAGTCTCACAATAATTTATAAACATCTGTTAGACTCTCATACGTGCTTGGCATTTTCCTTCAAAAAAAGTGCAAGACAAGCATCATGGAAGACTTGGAAACAACCTGACATTATTGACATCTTAATTTAAGATATCCTCATAGTATAGCTTGGGGTGGACATGAACTGCGATTCAATAAAATTCAAGTGGAAAACACTTTCATAAATAGAGTTATTTTACATTTACATTCTCTATCTTCCGAATGGAGCGACTAGATCGAAAATCGCTTCGCAGAAGCCGAAAAATGGCTTGTGAGCTGAACATATCGCAATATTCCATTCGGCAAATATTGAAAAAAGAGCTCGGGGTAAAGCCAATGAAATTCCAAAAAGTGCAAGAACTTGCACCGCAACACAGAGAAAATAGACTCAAAAGAGCTGAGGAGTTGCTTCGCTTGGCCGGAAGTGGTGAACTGTCCAATTTGGTTTTCTCCGATGAGAAAACATTCGTTGTCCAACAGTTTGTAAACAAACAAAACGATCGTGCCAAAGAGGTCAGCTGAAAATGTACACTTTCGGTTGGCCACCAGAACTCAAGCGCCAGGCCATGGTGATGTAGTGTGGTGGTGTGGACCGCCATAACAGCCGATGGTCGCTCTCCGCTCGTATTAATCGACCGTGGTATCAGAAGAAATGCCGAATATTATCTCGAAAATATTCTGGAGGGTGTATTAAAGCCTTGGACACGCAAGCATTTTCGACATTCCAACAGGACTCATTTTACAGATAGACGGGCGGACGGACGGACATAGCTAGATCGACTCCAGTTTGGTTCGATGAGGCACGTTTTGGCCGTATAAAATGATATATACCCTCTCTAGACATGTGGCTGAGGGTATAAAAATAACCCAAATAGCGAAACCCATATTTAGGTTGGTTGAAAATTGTGGCGGAAACCTTCAAAATACCGAAAATCGGGATGTGCTGCTATATGGGGGTTTTTAACAAATAATGAATATGTAGCGAATATTTTTTATTGAGAGAAATAGAGATAACAGACCTACCGATAACCCCAAATTTAAAGTTTCAGCTAATTTGGTTGGAAATAGTGGCAGAAACCTCAAAAATACCGATAATAAGGTATGTATCGTTATATGGAGCTACACCAATTAATGGACCTGAATCGAACATTTATTGCAGGAGAGAACAGACCATCCAAGAACTCCAAATGTCAAATTTCAGCTGATTTGGTTTAGTATTGTGGCAGAAATCTTCAAAATACCGAAAATCTGGAGATACCGTTATATGGGAACTATTTAAATTGGTGGACTTGAATTGAACATATTTTGCGAGGAGAGAGAGAGCAGATCTACCGAGAGTTCCAGTTGTCAAGTATCAGCTAATCTGGTTTGGAAATTGTTACAGAAACCTTCAAAATACCGAAAATCGGGAGGTACCGTTATGTAAAGACTATACCGATTAGAGAACCTCCAGCGATTTTTTTTGTAGTAAGAGAACAGACCTGCCAAGAAACCTAAATTTAAAGTTTCAACTGGCTTCGTTGGAAATTATGGCGGAAACCTTCAAAATACCAAAAATCGGGATTAATGAGATCGCTATACCAATTTCTGGACCTGTAGCGAACATTTTTTTCAAGAAGAGAAAAGACCTACCGAGAACACCAATTGTCAAGTTTAAGCTAATTTGGTTGGAAATTGTGACAGAAACCTTCAAAATACGGAAAATTTGAAGGAACTCTTGTATGGGACTCATATAGCCCATTTTTAATATCAATCAGCCTGCATATAATATAAACCTGTGTGCCAAATTTGCTCTAGATTGAATAATGTGGACTCCATTGTGATTTCACCAGACAGCCGAACATCGCTAAATCGCCTTGTAATTTTATTTTGATCTGATGATATATATATATATGTATATATATATATATATATATATATATATATATATATATATATATATATATATATATATATATATATATAGAGGTCTCCGACGAATATTTCGAGGTGTAGCATTATATTATGGAAGGTATAAAATAGTATTCAATATAGGTGTAAATCCTATATAAAGCAGCTTCAAATCAAATTTTCACATGGTGTAGGGTATAATTGTTTGCTTTCGCGGAGATTTGAACCTACGACCTTCGGTTTTGTAGTCCAAAGTGCATACGTTTAGCCGCCGATACTCGTTACTTGGTAAAATACGGGTAAGTTATTTTGTAAATTGTATGGAAATTACTCATTACTTTTTAGCTTACTGGTAATGATGAGGCTAAAAGTTTGCCATTACTAGTAATGCTGAAAGTGGCAAATATAAGTATTAAATTTTTGCCGGATAAGTAGATCTATAAAAAGACCCGTTATCATACCCAACAAAAATTTAGTGGACATATGTGTCACTTCCAGCATTACTAGTAATAACAAGTAAATGCATGCATTACCAGTAAGCAAAAAATAATGCATTACCGGATGTATATCTTCAAATAAAATACCTTTATTTTTTTAAACTGGTTCCCACTTTAAAATCACCGAGATATCGTGTTCATTTCCACCCTATGTCAATCTGAAAAGACCATTGAAATTAAGATGTCACGGATGTCAGTTCTCATATGATGCTTGATGGTATCTCACTTGCCATAACGAGGCAAATGTCAAGAATATATGAGAATCTCACAGATGTTTTTAATTTCGAGATGGCTAAAAATGCCAGATAAATTTCAAGTTGTCCTAGTCCACTCAAGGATCTCAAACACTGCGGAACATTTCGGAAATATAACCCAAATCAACGTTGAAACATGGCCAAAACGGTGGCACAAAGCTATGATAAAACCATACTTTTCATAAAAATATCTTCGGCCGTTTGTGGCGCGAATGTTTTGAATCCTGCCTACAGGATGAATATCCTTACCTGGATTGTTATTGTGTGTATAAATTTGTATTATGTCTTTACTGGCTATACGCTCTATGTGAATATCTATGTAGAAAAGGATTGGCCGAATGTATTGCAAGTCCTGTGCTATTTGGGTAGTGCGGTGCAGGTGAGGTGAGGGCGGGATGGTACCAAGGAAATTCAGAAAAAATATATTTCCAAAGTTTCTTTAATCTCTCAATTGCAGGGTTACTGCAAACTCCTCAATGCCATCCACAACAAGGAGTCTCTGCGATTTTTGGATCAGGAGTTACGTGAAATCTATCTCGAATACGATCAAAAGCATGCCGATTATCGCTATTGTCTCAAGACGACCATTGATCGGGCGAATAAATTCATTAAATTTATGATAATTTTTCAAATTTTAATATCGGGTAGTCTGATTGGTGTGGCACCATTCTATCGCCTGGTATTCAATCAGCGGATTTTCGTAATGCAATTTCTGCTGCCCGGTGTAGATCCATCGACGGAATATGGTTATTTCGTCATGAACTGTATGCACTGTATTTGCATAATATTCGGATCGTTTGGGAATTTCGCGGCGGATTTGTTCTTTTTCGTCGTTGTCAGTCATGTGCCAATGTTTAAGGATATTTTGACGTGTAAATTTCATGATTTAAATGATCTTCTGGAGGAGGAGGTTGCAGATAATGAGAATAATAATAATAATAATCGTATTAAAGATGTGAGGGAGGATTTTCGATCTTTGCTTATAGATATTTTTAAGTGGCATCAACGGTATTTGAGGTTGGTCTGATATTTATCATTATTTTTTATTTTTTGATTTTTTATTATTTAATTCGATTTTTATTTTAAATTATTTCAAATGTATGTTAAATAAAACTGAGCTGAAAGTCTTTCTTTTTGTTGTGCTTTATTTATTCAATTTTTTTTATATTTTAATAATATTTTTTTATTTTTTAGTATTCAAAAAATTTTAGTATTCAAAAAATAAATTTATTTTTTTCACGTAATTTTTTTTTATTTATTTCAAATAGAAGTTGAATAAAACTGAGCTCGGCGTCTTTATTGTTGTTGTTTCTCATTTATATATATATATATATATATATATATATATATATATATATATATATATATATATATATTAATATTTAAATAATAAAATGTTTTTTTTTAATTATTAATTATAACTGTTAATTATTTTTTTATTTTAATAATAAATTGGTATTCTTTTTTAATTGTAGTGTTCAAAACATAAATTTCGTTTTTTAATTTTTTTTCAAGAATTAATTTTTTTATCTGTTTAAAATTTATTTTTTTAAATTACATCAAATTTTTAACTGAAATTATTTCAAAAATAAATTTCTTTTTTATTTTTTTTCAAGTAATTATTGTTTTTATTTTTTTTTTTAAATTTATTATTTTTAATTATCTCAAATTTTTAATATATATATATATATATATATATATATATATATATATACAAATTCATTTTTATATATATATATATATATATATATATATATATATATATATATATATATATATATATATATATATATATATATATATATATATATATATATATATATATATATATATATATATATATATATATATATATATATATATATATTTGTTATTAATTTATTAATAATTTATTTCAAATATTAATTAAATTAAACTGAGGTAGAGGTTTTAATTTGTGAGTTTTTATATATTTTTTTTCATAAATAAATATATTTATTTTTTTTAAATTTTTATTCAAATAATTAATTTATTTTCTAATTTTTATTATTATTGTTTTATTATTTATTTATAATTTATTTATTTTAAATGTAAATTCAATAAAACAGAGTTCGAAGTCTTTATTTTTGTTGTTTTTTTTTCAATTTAATTTTTTATATTTAAATAATAAAAATCTATTTTTTTATCTTATTTTTTATATTCATAAAATAATTTTATATATTTATTTTTTTGATTTTTTTTAATTCAAATAAGTAATTTATTTTTTCTACTTATATTATTATTTTATCATTAATTTTTTTTTGATTTCTTATTATTTATTTTTTATAATTTTTTTATTTTATATTATTTCAAAAATAAATTAAATCGACTGAACCATATTTCCATAATTCTTTTGTTCTTTTTATTTATTTAATTGTTTAAATAAGTAAAATTGTATTTTAATTTATGTTTTAATATTCAAAAAATATCTGTTTTTGATTTTTTTATTTAAATAATTAATTTATTTCCTTAACTTATTTTTTTTTTATTTTTTTTTGTTTACAATGAATTTATTTTAAATTATTTCAAATGTAAGTTAAAAAAATAAAGATCGAAATTTTTATTTTTTTATTTTGTTACAGTTTAATAATAAATTTGTATTTTTTTATTTGTTGTAATATACAAAAATAATTTTTTAGGAATGTTTTTATTCAAATAATTATTTTATTTTCTTAACTTCTTTTTTTTATTTTCTCATTCATTTTTTCTGATTTATTCATTTATTTATTAATTTATAAATTATTTAAAATGTAAGTTAACTAAAACTGGGCACGAGACCTCAATTTTTGTTATTTTTATTTATTTAAATTTTTAAATTTAAATAGTAAAATTCTATGTTTTTAATTATTTTTAATATTCTAAAAATAAATTTATTTATTTATATTTTAATTTTTTTTTTTATTCAAATAATTAATTTATTTTTTTTTTTCAATTGATATTATTATTACTTTTTTCTGATTTTTTTATTTATTTATTTATAAATAATTTAAAATTTAAGTTAAATAAATCTGGGCACGACATCTCTATTTTGTTATTTTGTTATTTATTAATTTTTTATATTTAAACAGTAAAATTCTATGTTTTTAATTATTTTTAATATTCTAAAAATTAATTTATTTATTTGTTAATTTTTGTTTTTAATTTTTTTTTATTCAAATAATTAATATATTTTTTCAACTGGTGTTATCATTATGTTTTTTATTTATTTTAAATTATTTCAAATTTAAGTTTAATAAAACTGAATTTAAGGTCTTTATTTTTGTTGTTTTTTTACTTATTTATATTTTTGTTATGTTTAAAAAACAAAATTCTGTTTTTAATTATTTTAATTATTAAAAAATATATTCATTTATATATCTTTTTAGATTTTTTTTATTCAAATAATTAATTTATTTTCCCAACTTATATCTTTTGTTTGTATTTAAATAATAAAATTCTATTTTTTAAATTTTTTTAATATTCAAAAATCAAAATTTTTTTTATTAATAATTAATTTATTTTATTAATATTATTAATAATAATTAATTTATTTTCCCAACTTAGTTTTAGTTTATTTATTTATGATTTATTAATTTTAAATTATTTCAAATATAAGTTAAATAAAAATGAGCTCTAGGTCCTTATTTTTCTTGTTTTTTATTTATTTAATGAAATTCTTTAAATAACAAAATTCTATTATTTAATTAAAATAAAATTTTTTATTCAAATAATTAATTTATATTTTCACATTTTTTTTTAATCATTAATTATTTTCTGATTTTTAGTTATTTATTTAAAATTTATTTTTTAATTGCTTCAAATATAACTTAAATATAACTAAGCTCGAAGCCTTTATTCTTGTTGTTTTGTATTTATTTATATTTTTATATTTTAAATTTAAGTACTAATATTATGTTTTTAATTATTTTTAATATTTAAAAAACAATTCTTTTTTTTTAATTATCAATAAAATTAAATTTATTCAACTTTTTTTTTGTGAAAATTTATTTTCCTCTTGCAGATTCATCGCCATTGTAAAGGAGAATTATTTTTGGGTTCTTTTGGTGGAAATGGGCACAGTGGCCCTTAGCTTGGCCTCAACTCTGTTCTGCTTAATTTTGGGAACTTGGCCGGGAGGCCAATCGTACTTGGCATATTGCTTTATAATGTTGTACATCTATTGTGGTCTGGGAACGGTGGTTGAAGTGACTGTGAGTATATCTGTCTAAATCTCCATAAACCAAAACTCGCCAATAGATAACAAAAATTTGGTTTAAAATAAAATATTTTCTAGACCTCCAAAAATCCTAGAGTCTGCGGAAAATATTTGTATGGCTATTTAAAAAAAATATTCCTTAAAAATACAAGTTTTAGGAAATTTTAAAATATATATTATTTTTAGAATTCCTCAAAATTTGATGTCTTTTTTAAAAAAATATTTTCTCAAGACTTTTTTTTAAAGAATATTACTTTTCAAAACTTCCCATAATTTTTGATTTAAACAAAAAATGTTTTAAGACCACCCACAAAAACATTTTATCCCCCTGAAAAATCGCTTTCATGGGCCTCCATAATTTCATGATTTCTCTTCTTCTCTTCCAGAACGATGGCTTTATTGATTCCTGTTACACTGAGATCATTTGGTACAAGCTGCCCGTTTCGCAGAGGAAAATGTTACGAATGATGCTGATGATGGCCCAGAATACAGACGGCCTAACAATTGGCTCTGTTATTCCCCTCTCCATGAATACGGGTCTACAGCTGACCAAAACTATTTACACCATGACAATGATGTTGATTAATTTTCTTGAGTGAATGGCACTGTGCAAGTTTTTAAAACCACCTGAGATGGATAGCTTGCACCTTTAGTAGTATGCACCCGGTAGCTGTATTTATCAAAAGAAATCCATGCCTTGAGACGTCTATGGATAATTTACTAATCACTTAATAAAATAATATAAAAAAGGGAACAATCACAAAAATACAGGTAGCCCTAAGACACCTAATAAAAATTCCCTGAGATCGCTTTCAGCTCTTCTATGATTAGAGGTTTTCTATAGATACTACGATAACCTTTCCTAATTCTCCATATTCTTAGAGTAGCTAATCGCACACCACTCTACTGCAGAATGGGTGACCCTTTTAGAGAAAGAGGCCATTGCTGTAGAGAAGCTGGCCTCAGAGGCCACTATTTTAGAGAAGCCGGCCTCAGAGTCATCTAATGTACACCAGCGGACCACATAGGCCTCTAATGTGGAGTAGCTGGTCTCAGAGCTAGCCTTAGTATTCTCTACTGTAGAGTAGCAAGCCTTAGAGTCCTCTACTGTAGAGTAGCAGGCATTAGAAGCCTCCACTATAGAGAAGATGGCCATAGAGGCCACTACTGTATAGTAGCTGGCCTTAGAGGCCTCTACTATAGAGTAGGTGGCCAAAGAGGTTTCTACTGTAGAGTAACTGGTCTTAGAGGCGTCTACTAACGAGAAGCTGGTTTCAAAGGCGAATACTATCGAGTAGCTGGCCACAGAAGGCACTACTCTCGAATAGCTGGCCTCATAGCCGGGTTCTGTCGAGTGCTACTCCTAGAAGCCTCTACTATAGAGTAGATGGTCTTAGAGGCCACTACTGTATAGTAGCTGACCTAAGAGACCTCTTCTTTAGAGTAGCTGGCCTTAAAGGCCTCTACTATGGAGTAGGTGGCCCTAGAGGTCTCTACTGTAGAGTAGCTGGTCTTAGAGTCGTCTACTAACGAGAAGCTGGTTTCAAAGGCGAATACTATCGCGTAGCTGGCCACAGAGGGCACTACTGTCGAATAGCTGGCCTCAGAGCCGGCTACTGTCGAGTGCTGGTCCTAGAAGCCTCTACTATAGAGTAGATGGTCTTAGAGGCCACTACCGTATAGCAGCTGACCTTAGAGGCCCCTACTGTATAGTAGCTGACCTTAGAGACCTCTCCTTTAGAGTAGCTGGCCTCGAAGGCCTCTACTGTAGTGTAGAGTAGCTGACCTTAGAGACCTCTCCTTTAGAGTAGCTGGCCTCAAAGGCCTCTCCTTTAGAGTAGCTGGCCTCAAAGGCCTCTACTGTAGAGTAGTTGGCCATAGAGGCCTCTACTCCAGAGTAGCTGTCCTTATAGGTTTTTACTGTAGAGTATTTGACCTCAGAGGCCTCTACTGTAAAGTATCTGGGTGTAGAGGCCTATACTGTGGAGCCATCTATCGTATAGTAGCTGGTCACAGAGTCCCCTACTGCAGGGTAGCTGGCCTTAGAGGTGTCTGCTGCGGATTAGCTGGCCTAAGAGGCCACTACTGTTGAGTATCTTGCCTCAGTGGCCTCTACTTTAGGGTAGATTGCCTCAGAGGTCTATACTGCCAAGTAGTTGGTTTTTCCTGTAGTGTAGCTGCCCTCAGTGGTCACTACAGTAAGTCACCTGGTCTTAGAGGCCGCTACTGTCGAGAAGCTGGCCTTAGGGTCTCCTACTTTGTAGAGGAGAGGCAGCTGGCCTCTATCACGGAGTAGCCTCTATCACGGAGTAGCTATTCTGCAGAATAGCTGGCCATAGAAGCCTATAATGTAGAGTAACTGGTCCTAGAGGCCTCTACTGTAGGGTAGCTAGCCACAGAGGCCTCTACTGTAGAGCAGCTAGTCTTCAAGGCTTGACTGTAGAGTAACTTAAGAGACCTATATTTTAGAGTAGCTGGCCTTAAAGCCCTCTACTGTAGAGTAGCTGGCCTTAGAGGCCTCTGCTGTACATTAGATGGTATCAGAGTACTCAGAAGCTGGTATCAGAGGCTAATACTGTCGAGTAGATGGTCTCAGAGTCCACTACTGTAGAGATGCTGTCCGCAGAGGCTTCTACTGTAGAGTAGCTGTCCGTAGAGACCACTACTGTAGAGTAACTAGCCTTAGTGGGGCACAGATGTCGCCGCTGTTGGCTCAGGGGCCACTGCTGTAAGCTAAACGTTCTCTCAGTTTGCTACTCGGGACTAGAGGCTTCGGAGGCCTTCACTATAAAGCAGTTGGCCTCAGAGGCACTTATCTGGAGTAGATGGTCTCAGAGATCACTGTTGTAGAGAAGATGTTTTCAGATGGCGTTACTGTCTTAATTGTCTCTACTGCGGTTTAGCTGGTCTCCTTTAGCTTATTAGCGTTTTACAGTCTCAACTGTAATTTAATTGCAAGCCTCTTTTTCCCCCTTCAGGCTAATCGAGAATAATGTGTTAAATTATGCTGTCAAAAATGACAGGTGGTTTGAACGTCTCTTACATGTCTTTGAAAGTGAATGTCGGGAATGCCTGAGATCCTGGCAGGTGGTGTAATTTTTTGTAAGGTTACAGTCTGGCCATAATTCCACTTAACGGTTCAACGCAACACAGAACGGGTTTCATAGAAAAAATCTCGGCCGAAAATATGGCCAAAACCCTTGTACAGCGCTATGAAACAATAGTCCGCCTAATAAAAATTTGCTCGGCTTTTTGTGGTGCGAATATTTTTCATCCTTCCTACAGGATGAATATCCTCACTTGGACTGTGGTTATTTTCATAAATCTATATTTTGCCTTTACCGGATATACACTTTATGTGAATATTTACATAGAAAAGGATTGGCCGAATATTTTGCAGGTCCTGTGCTATTTGGGTAGTGCTATGCAGGTGAGTTGGATTAATAAAAAGAAACTGAAATTAAATTGAGTGACATCCTTTCCCTCGCAGGGCTATTGCAAACTTTTAAATGCCATAGGGAATAAGGACAATATACGATATTTGACGGATGAACTACGGGAAATCTATCGGAAATATGATCTGAAACATGCCGATTATCGTTGCTGTCTCCAGAAGAGCATTAACACGGTGAATCGATTCATCTAATGTATGGCCATTATCCATTTCTCCATTACCATGAGTTTGATTGCCGTCGTGCCATTCTATCGCGTGGTATTCAATGAGCGAATATTTGTAATGCAATTTTTGCTACCCGGAATCGACCCGAATACCGCCTATGGTTACCTCATGATGAATTGTATGCATTGCATTTGTATTTTGTTCGGATCATTTGGAAATTTCGCAGCTGATCTGTGCTTTTTCACCATCGTCAGTCATGTGCCGTTGTTCAAGGATTTGCTGAGGTGTAAATGTCAGGATCTAAATGACATCCTTGAGGAGGGGAAAGATGTTGAGCAGGAGGGAATTGGTGATTGTCAAATTCTGTTGAAAGATATTTTTCAATGGCATCAGAAGTATATGATGTGAGACCTTTGAACATTTTTATGGGATGGAGTTTTTTTATTTTTCACTTTATCTACAGATACATTACCACGGTCAAGGACAACTATTTTTGGGTCCTGATCATTGAAATGGGTACAGTGGCACTTAGTCTTGCCTCAACTCTATTCTGTTTAATTTTGGGCACATGGCCAGGTGGTCTCACATATCTTGCCTACTGCCTGATGATGTTGTATATCTACTGTGGTCTGGGCACACTCGTTGAAGTGACGGTAAGTCGGAGGTAAACCTTTTTGGAGAAGAGACAACGAAAACTAAATCCTGAACTTCAAAGTAGTGGCCTCTGGGGCCAGCAAGTCTACAGTAGCGACCTCTGAGGCCATTTACTCTACAGAAGCGACCTCTGAGACTATATATTCTATAGTAATGATCTCTGGGACCAGCCAGTCTACAGTAGTGGTCTATGAGGCCAGCTACTCTGTAGTAGAGGGCTCCTAGAAAAGCCTCTAAGAAAAGCTACTCTACAGTAGTGGCCTCTTGGGCCAGCTATTCCCCAGTAGCGGCATCTGAAGCCACCTACTTTACAGTAGTGCCCTTTGAGCCCTGCTAATTTACAGTATTGGCCTCTGAGGCTAACTACTCTACAGTAGGGGTCTCTGAGGCTAGCATCTCTACCGTAGAGGCCTCTAAGAAAAGCTACTCTACAGTAGTGGCCTCTTGGGCCAGCTATTCCCCAGTAGCGGCATCTGAAGCCACCTACTTTACAGTAGTGCCCTTTGAGCCCTGCTAATCTGCAGTAGTGGCCTCTGAAGCTAACTAATCTACAGTAGGGGCCACTGAGGACAGCTACTCCACTGTAGAGACCACTGAGGCCAGCTACTCAAAATGTAGAGGTCTCCGAGGGCAACTACTCAAGAGTATAGGCCCCTGAGGCCAGATAGTCTACAGTAGAGGCCTCTGAATCCAACTACTCAACAGTAGAGGGTTCTAAGGAAAGCTACCCAACCGTAGAGATCTCTGCATTGTCGGCCTCTTAGACCAGGTACTCTACAGAAGTGGCATCTAAGCTCAGCTACTACTCAGTATCGACCTCTGAAGCCACCTACTTTACAGTAGTGCCCTTTGAGCCCTGCTAATCTACAGTAGGGGCCCCTGGGGCCAGCTACTCAACTGTAGAGGCCACTGAGGCCAGCTACTCTACAGTAGAGGCCACTGAGGCTAGGTACTCTATAATAGAGGCCTCTGAGGCCAGCTGTTCTACTGTAGTGACCTCTGAAGGCAGCTACATTAAAGTAAAAACCAACTACTTGGCAGTAGAGGCCTCTGGGCCAGCTACTCCCCAGTAATGGCCTCTGAAGTCACCTACTTCACAGTAGTGACCTCTAAGCCCTGCTAATTTGCAGTATTGGCCTCTGAGGCTAACTACTCTACAGTAGGGGTCTCTAAGGCTAGCATCTCTACCGTAGAGGCCTCTAAGAAAAGCTACTCTACAGTAGTGGCCTCTTGGGCCAGCTATTCCCCAGTAGCGGCATCTGAAGCCACCTACTTTACAGTAGTGCCCTTTGAGCCCTGCTAATCTGCAGTAGTGGCCTCTGAGGCTAACTAATTTACTGTAGGGGTCCTAAGGCCAGCTACTCAACTGTAGAGGCCACTGAAGCCAGCTACTCAAAATGTAGACGCCTTTGAGGGCAACTACTCAACAGCAGAGGCCTCTGAGGCCAGCTTCTTTACAGTAGTCGCCTCTAAGTCGTTCTTATCTACAGCAATGGCCTCAGAGGCCAGCTACACAAGAGTAGAGGCCTCTGAGGGCAACAACTCAACAGTAGTAGGTTCTTAGAAAACCTACCCAACAGTAGAGGCCTCTGAGGTCTGAGGCCAGTTACTCTACAGTAGAGGTCTCTGAGGCCAGCTACTTTATAGTGGAGGGCACTGCGGCCAGTTACTCAACAGTAGAGGTTTCTACAGTATAGGCCTCTAAGAACAGGTACTCTACAGTAGTGGCCTCTGAAGCCACCAACTTTACAGTAATGCCCTCTGAGAACTGCTAATCTGCAGTAGTGCCCTCTGAGGTCAACTAATATACAGAAGGGGGCTCTGAGGCCAGCTACTCAACTGTGGAGGCCACTGAGGCCAGCTACTCAAAATAAAAAAACCTGTGAGGCCAGCTACTTCACAGTAGTTGCCTCTAAGTCGTTCTTATCTACAGTAGTGGCCTCAGAGGCCAGCTACACAACGATAGAGGCCTCTGAGGTCAGCTACTTTACAGGTCAGCTAGAGACCAGCTTCTTTACAGTAGTGGACTTTGAGACCACCTACTAAACAGTAGAAGCCAATGAGGCCAGCTACTCTCCAGTAGAGGCCACTGAGGCCAGCTTCTTTACAGTAGTGGCTTCTGATACCACCTACATTACAGTAGTGATCCATGAGCACTGCTACTCCACAGTAATAGCCTCTAAAGCCACCTACTTTACAGTAGTGGCCTTTGAGGCCAGCTAATCTACAGTAGTGACCTCTGAGGTCAGCTAATCTACAGTAGTGACCTCTGAGGCCAGCTAATCTACAGTAGTGACCTCTGAGGTCAACTACTCTACAGTAGTGACCTCTGAGGTCAACTACTCTACATTAGTGACCTTTCATGCGAACTTCTCTACAGTAGAGGGAACTGAGTACAGCTACCCTACAGTAGGGGGCTCTAAGGCCAGCTTCACAACAATTGTGATTTATACAGTAGTTTCTGACGTATTTTTAACTTTTTTTCTTCCTCACAGAATGATGGCTTTATTGATTCCGGCTACACTGACGTCATCTGGTACAAACTGCCCATGGTCGAGCGAAAAATGATACAAATGATGGTTATGATGGCCCAGAATACTGGCGGTCTTACAATTGGTTCAGTTGTACCTCTTACCATGAATACCGGTCTGCAATTGACCAAGGCAATTTATACCATGACCATGATGTTGATAAATTTTCTTGAATAAAAGACATCAGAAGGTGTCGGTCAAAATTCGATTAATTTTTTTTTTTCAAAGGCTAACCATGAAAGGAGGACTTTTTGTACTGGTTTAATGAATTATTTCTCCGGGTTTTTTCTCTTCATTTTTCTAAAAATCTCTCCCTCTCAATTAACTCTTTTTTCCTATTTTTTTAGCCAAAAAATCGGTATCCTAATATTTTTTGTACATATTTTTTTCTTCTTTTGTGAAATTCCACAACTTTTCAAATTCAAGGGGATTACGTTGAAATTGCCTGCACACAATAGTTGTCCATAACATTGAAAATCCAATAAACAAATCCGACCATTTTTAAAGTTCAAAAATTAAAGCCGCTAAAATGTGTAAAGCGCAACGTAGACAGAAAGGCAGACAATCGACGAAGAGATGTAAAAAAGATTAGTGAAGTTTCGCTGTAATGCCATTAGGACGCACAGCTGGGCACAGCCTCAAAGCAAAGGGAAAACAAAGCCCACCATTGTGTCGTTTCTGGCGAGATTGCTGTTGATGCCAAGGAAAGAAAAAATAAAAGCAGATTACAAATTGCATAAATAAAATTCATTAATAATTTTATTTCGTTTTATTTTTTGCTGTTGCTCTTCCGCTCTTTAGATTATTTGAATGGATTTCTTCGTAATGTTGAGAGGGGAGAATAGGAAGGGAGATTGTTTTAAATTTTGTTACCCTCAGCCATATGGCTAGAGAGGGTATATTTCATTTGATACGGCCAAAACGTTTCTCATCGAAATACGGTTATAAACCCTAGGTCTTTTTGGACCAAATCCGTTTTAGTACAATTTGAAATCGATCTAGCGATGTCCGTCCGTCCATCTGTCTGTCTAGGTGGTGCGCACGATCTTTTGAATGGAGTATCCGATTTGATCCAAACTTGGTACATCGTAATATTATGGTCTAACTTAGATCGAGTTCGGAGATGGGCAATATCGGTCCACTCCTTTTGATACCTCCCCCACAAAATGTCAACATTTAAAAAAAAAAAAAAAAAATACTGCACAGAAAGAGAAAGGATAATCCGATTTTACTCCAACTTTGTAAATCCTAATATTTGCATCAGTACTAGGTCAGGTGTGAAAATGGACAATGCCGGTCCACTCCATCAATTACCTCCCCCACTAAGGGTCAATATTTTGTATAATACTAACTTTTATAAAATGTGATGTAAGTGTCCGATTCTCTTCACATTACACACATCAGAATATTTTCTATTATCCCATGGCCTGGTGTGGATATGGAATATGTCGATCTATTTTTTTTTTTTTTTTGTAACTCCTCCACAAAGGGTCAAAAAGGTGAATATCCATGAAGCTTATAAAACACGGAATTAATATCCGATTCCATTCAGACTTGGCACATCTCAATATTTCTATCAACACAAGCTTTGTTATAAAGATGGTAGAGATCGGACCATTCCTTGCGGTACCTCCCCCACAAAGGGTCAAAGTTTCGAATAACTAAAACGATTATAATATCCGAAATAAGCATACGGTTCTCTTCATGTTTCACACATTCCATTATTTCTTCTAACACAAGATCTGCTGTGAAGTTTGGATGTATCGGCTCACTCTTTCTGGTACCTCCTCCACAAAGGGTCAAAATTTTGAATATTCATAAATCTCTTAAAACGCGAAATTAACATCCGATTCCATTCAAACTTTTCACATCTCAATATTTCTATCAGCACAAGATCTCTTATAAATATGGTGGAGATCGGACTGTTCCTTCTGGAACCTCCCCCACAAAGGGTTAACATTTCGAATTACGAAAACGATCATAAAATCCAAAATAAGCATCCAGTTCTCTCCGAATGCTACACATCACACTATTTGTATTAGCCCAAGGTCTGGTGTGAAGATGGGACATATCGGTTCACTCCTTCTGGCATCTCCCCCACATTCCCCACTGTGAGTATCCATGAAGCTCATAAAACGCGAAAATAACATCCGATTCCATTTAGGCTTGGTACATCTCAATATTATTTTCGATTTCCCTGAAATTTTGCACATACCAATATTTTTATCTGTATGATCTGTATGTAGATGAAGTATGAAAATGGAATACTTCGGTCCGCTATATCTGGTACCTCTCTTATATTTCGATATTTTCCAAAAGTTTGCACATATCTCATATAAGGTATGGAAAGAAGTCGATATAGTCCAAATCCGGTTCGTTGTAATATTTATATCAGTCTTAGAACAGATACGAATTGGTCTATATTGGCCTACTGCTTCGGAACCTTAATAATAAAGGGTCAATAATTTGAATAATCACAACTCAAGGCTGGGGGTATACATCTGTCGGAAAAAAACGACCGATACTATTTTACTTGTTTTTGCAAATTTTGACCTTTTTTGGGGGAGGTACCAGAAAATCTAGACCGATATCACCTATCTCCGAACTCGATAAAAGTTTTGATAGGGAAAGTATTCCATCTCCAGAAGGTTCGTAAACCTCCTGTGGAGTAGTATCCATGTAAGGTCCTCTTAAAATACGTGTAAATCCCATATACTATTTTTACTTATCCTGTCGTATAGGTATACAGAGTGAGATGAAAAAAATGCAACCAACTTCAGACTGCTTCCAGTGACAGTTCATTATATTGTTTACAAGCGTACAAAAGCATTTTGGCGAGAATTTTCCAGAAAAAAGTTATTCGAGATGGAATTCAAGCGTGATTGATTTCTTATATTTGGCTGGAAAACCACAACCGTTGGAGCACTGCAGCATTTAAATGTGAATAAGTCTTTTGTGTCTCGTATCATCGCCCGTTACCGTGATACTGGTAGCGTAGCCCGATGTCAAGGAAGTGGACGCAAGAAAATAGCAACATCAGCAGGAACGGTTCGAAAAGTAAAGAAGCGACTTGATCGAAACCCGCGTCGCAGTGCCCGAAAAATGGCTCGTGGGCTGAAAATATCGCAATATTCCATTCGGCAAATATTGAAAAATGAGCCATGAGCAATAGACTCGAAAGAGCTAAAGAGTTGCTTCGCTTGGCCGAAAGTGGTGAACTGCCGAATTTGGTTTTCTCCGATGACATTCCGAAAACAGTCGTTGTCCAGCAGTTGTGCGGTTTGTAAAGAAACAAAATGATCGTTTTTACTTGCCAAAGAGGTCAGCTAAAAATGTGCACTTACGGTTGACCACCAGAAATCAAGCGCCTGCCATGGTGATGGTGTGGGCCGCCATAACAGCCGGTGGTCGCTCTCCGCTCGTATTAATCGACCATGGCATCAGAATAAATGCCGAATATTATCGCGAAAATATTCTGGAGGGTGTATTAAACCCTTGGCCGTAGACCTTGGACATTCCAACAGAACTCAGCACCATCGCACTCAGCACGCGCCACCTAATAATGATTACAAAACGAAGTTCCTCGCTTCATTTCCAGCCCACAATGGCCACCAAAATCTGCGGATATCAATCCGTTGGACTATTGTGTCGGGAGTATTTTGGAAAGCAAGGGTGGCACTAAAAAACGCCAAATTATCGATCACCTCAAGCAAGCGCTTCGCCGGGAATGGGTCAAAATACGACAGAGCAGCATTCGGACAGCGTGTGACAGTTTAATTGGCAGTTTGAAGGACATAATTCGTGCCAAAAGTGATCAATTCGAACAAATGTAAACTTATTCTAAAATTTCATGCTATTTCCGACATTTCCTCGAAAGGTCTTATTATGGAAGAGCAAGGGCTCCCGAAGGGCCTTTGTGAAAAAAAGTCTCATTGACGGCTATTATGTTCTTCATATAGGAAGCTGAGATGATTTTCTTAAAGAGAACGCCAGAAGTTACTTCCACTAAGAACCATATGGACTTCTCGATTAAAGCCAAGACACAGAGTATTTGTTACAACAGTTAAAGAGAAATTTCTCATAAATGCCAGAGGGATTTTTTATTTGCATAAGATTTCTAGGAGTTAGATATGGATGACCTCCTGGGGTTCACTCGATCTGTAGAATACTTTTGGAGGGTTGTTATCTATAAAAATTTCGCTATATATAAATGTTTTCTTTGATGAAACCTCCTGAATATCTTCAATCTATAGAGGTTGCCTAGAGTGAATTTTTGAAGGCCTCTAAAGGACCCGATCCACCATTGGTTTTGTATTCAGACGTTCTCCCTCTGTGCCACCGTCACTTTTTACTTGGTATGAAAAAAGTAAATTAATTTACCTTGTGCATTTATTAACAATAATCATTATTTTACCCCTTACTGGTAATGCAAAAGATATATTGTTGTCATTACAAGTAATGTCGATTACCAAATTTTTGCTGGGAATATAAAAAACTACAATATATTTTTATTTTTAAAGAATTTATACAAAATATGTTTTCTTATAGAATATACCTCTACCCGGTGAAGATGCAAACCCCTGTGGAATGATTTCTATGTAAGATCCTTTGGAGGTATGTAGAAAGTTCATACAATATAGTTCATCTATCTTTACAAAGTTTCTAAGGTGTTTCTGATCATGTCTTATAGATATACTGGAAATTTCTCAACTCCTGAAGACCAACATAAGCTACTTTATCTATAGATGACCTGTGAATGGTCCTGATGTCAAAATCGTTTGAATCGCATAAAATCGCTACACTGACATCATTGCCCACAAATCTCCCAGTCTGAGTCTGTGATTAAAATATCATAACATATGACATCATTGTGTGCCGGGTGACCAGAGCAATACAAAGTAAGTGTGTGTGAGGTTTCTAAAGGAAGGCCAAAGACAGACAACACCAACAGCTGATTATGCCATACGAAATTTTGTCGACACAGGCATGTTGGCGCAAATTAAAAATGGGGTTTGAGAGGTAATATGGAAAAACTGTCTAGACGAAAATATAATAACAACAACAACAATAAAAATAACCAAAAACAACTATGTGACAAGAAAAAAAACAGCTGAGTAGACAATAAATAAACCAAGGCAAGGATATTCGCCTGAGAGTCAGGCAAAAATGTTATCAAAGGATATTCAATTTATGATTATTTATT